GATTTTAGTGTGTGTGTTTGAGATGTGTTATGTGGTTCCTTGACTTTTTCGTTGTTTTCTTGATTACTGCTAGATTCAGAAGCATTGCTTTTATCATCTTAAGCATTGCTGTCACTGCTCTCTGAGTCTTTATCTGTGTATAGTGTACTGTCTGACGTTAAAATGACTGTTTAAGCAGAGAAAACAAAACATGTTACACCAGAACTGTGTTTTACCAAACTTTTAAGTAATACGAAGTTTCCACTGTAGCACACAACAATCTGAGATTACCTATATCGGAGATAATTTTCTCTATGCATACAAAGTGTTAATTTTACTTCCAGTTTATGCAAAAATATATAAACCTCTAGACAGCCCCTCCACTTGGGCATAACCCGCACTCCGGGAGAGTTGGGCCAAAACAGTCTAAACTCTTGAATGATCACTATAGTAGGTAATCAGTCCTAGCTCGAGGCAGTGATTAGAGCAAGTTCACAATTTATATCCTTTCAAGAACATATTCGTTAAATAATAACGGTTGAAGATGGCTTGAAAGGGTAATGAAGAAAAACTTTAATATAAGTTTAATATAACAGCAAATGTACAACGTTTCGACAAGGTTTTGTCATCATCATTATATTAAAGTTGTTTTTTCATTACCCGTTCAAGCCGTCTCCAACCATTATTAGTCTCAAAGTGGGTTCCTCGTCATCGAATTTGAATTCGTTAACTAAGTGCTAGGAATGAATATTATTCAATAAAGCAATAATATTTTCTAGTTATGACCAACTACTCCCACTTCCTTACTTGTGGTAGTTTCAATTAATAAGTTCCTTAAATAATATGAACGACGTTTACATACAGAGAAATAAAGGGATAACATCGTTTCACACAAAAGAACTCGAACGGAAACTAAAAAAACTAAAATGCATCTGAATATACAAAAAAAAAAAACATTGATTGGGATAAAAGCATAATTCACATAAAAATACTGGATAAAATAACTCAAAGGACAATACACATCTCAGAACCTCCAAAATTTAATGAAAATGCATAATTGTTTATAAGATCAAATGTATAAAATATAATTTAAACTACAAATAAGTATTATCTAAGTGACACACTTCGTGAATTATATGTATTGTTTTTTTTAATTTCGCGCAAAGCTACACTAGGGCTATCTGCGCTAGCCGTCCCTAATTTAGCAGTGTAAGACTAGAGGGAAGACAGCTAGTCATCACCACCCACCGCCAACTCTTGGGCTACTCTTTTACCAACGAATAGTGGGATTGACCGTCACATTATAACGCCCCCACGGCTGAAAGGGCGAGCATGTTTGGTGTGACGGGGGATTCGAACCCGCGACCCTCAGATTGCGAGTCGAGTGCCATAACCACCTGGCCATGCCGGGCCAATTGTATGTAAACAGAGTGCACAAAAAACACAACTAATATGGCACAAATGGAAAGTAAAAGAACAAAGAAGAAACAGTATAACTATAAAATAGAATTAAACATAATATTTTATTAAAATGAACAAAATATAGAACTGAATGAAACCAAACACGAAATAATAAACTGAAATTTTGTTTGTTTGAAGTTAAACACAAAGCAACACAATGGGCTATCTGTGTTATGCCCACCACGGGTATCGAAACCCAGATTCTAGCATTGTAAGTCCACAGAAAACTGAAATTTATGCAAATAAATATGGGAGGAAAATAAGTACAAAGGATAAAAGTGGACATTAAGTTGAAACTTTAATATATATGCTTATTATAAAGAAAAAAAAAGAGATAGCCAACTTTACAATTGTGACTATAAGATGTAAGAGAAATCACTTAACACTGAATATAATATCACAAAATAACTAGGCAAAGCAAGAACCAAACGTAGTTTCAAAATATCATTTAAAATATGATTTGAGCTATAATAACAGGAAATGAACAAAAAATGAAAAAGAACAAAACAGAAAAGAAACAACCGAAACCAGGAAATGCATCCCACCTCAAAGAAACTTTAGTAAACACGTTACATCTCACTATCCAGTTCTGTATTTACTTGTGTGTATATAATTAAATACATAATGAACGATACGGGTACGTCCATACCTAACTCTATACTATAAATTGACTACCACGTAAATACATATTGCCATCTAGTGATAGTTTTGCCAACCAATGCCAGAGTAGACCACATTTCCTGCTTGTTCAAACATACTTTGGACTTTTAGGCGTCATCTTGGTGTCATAACAGATCCAAATTGAACAATATTGCGAAAATATATGTTAGCAGAAATGGCTGTTCCTTCCATAATTCATCCCCAGATCCCATTTTATGTTGGCAACTATAAGGCATACGAATATACTCATTAGGGATGCAAGAAATATTTCTTTGATTATCACAGTGCCACAAGTTCAATTGTTTTGCTTTTTACAGTAGTGCTGTCATCTAGAGGTCAGAAAATGCACTATATCAATTACACACAAGAACAACGGTGAGACAACGACAAGTCTACGGATTTACAACACTAAAATCAGGGGTTCAATTCCCCTTAGTGGACACAGCAAATAGCCTGGTGTGGCTTTGTTATAAGAACAACA